TTAATTAATTACCCACATTCCGCGCGTTACTTTAAATTGCTACATCATGAATGAACTGTTAGTAACTTCAATAAAAATATAAAAGCAAATGAAATTTAAATTAAATTAATAAAGATTTGATTTTGTCCAAACCCTCAGTTATTTATACCTTTCACGCCTTGGTTTAAAACGGAACCTCGGGTTTAGTATAGAATCCTTGGAGTGCTTAAGGGAAGAATGGTGTAATTAGGAATATAGGTTTAAGGCTTAGAATATGGGAGAGAGAGAAGATAATGATTTTTGGTGTAAAAGAGAGAAAGAGAGAAGGATTTGATGATCAAGCTTGTTGATGATTGAAAAAGGGGAGATATGACCTCTATTTATAAGGAAAAAAGAGGGGTCGAATCAAGAAAAGATAAGAATTCGAATCGGATAAAACTCTTGCGATAGACAGCAGTTTTTGCGGTTTTTGTTTTTATCATATCTTTTGATCCCGAAATCGGATTAAGATAAATAATATATCGTTGGAAAGATCTTGAAGTCTACTTTATAACCCAATTAGAATAAGATTAAAATTTATTTTATAACAAAAGATATATCCGAAATAGTGAGACGGTGTCAGTTTTGGATAGAGTTTGACATTTTATTCATATCTTTTCCGTTATAGCTCGGAAATTGATAATATAATATATCATTGGAAAGATAATTTCAAGGGCTATCCAACCAAATAAAATTTGGATAAAAACTATAAGACACGAAAATAATATTTTTCTATCTTTGAACGTCTTTCAATTCGGATATAAATAGGATTTTCAAAAAAAAGAGTTTTATTCAATTTCAAACTATTTAATCTTATCTTTTCAAAAAGGATAATTAAGATCTTTTAGAAACTCATAGAAGCTTCTAATTAATCCTAATTGGTTTAGAATTAGGATTAAATCATTTGGACCCTCCACATGATCATTGGGTCGTAGGTAAGGTGAGATTAGGTTCGGTTTGGGCTCGGTTTAATATTTTGGCCATAACTTATTCGTTATAACTCGTATTTGGGTTTATAATATATCGTTGGAAAGCTCTTTTCAAGCCCCATCCAACTATTTAATCATTGGACCCATATTATGGACCAAAATAAAATGGATCAAACGTTTTTATAAAAAGGACACGAAATGAATGATTTTAAAGGCACGAAATGAATTATTTTGGGTTTAAAGGCACGAAAAGAGGAAAAAAAGTTATGGTTTGGGGAAATGGGCTAGAAGTTGGGTTGGTTTATGAAATGGGAATATGAATTTAAGCACTCCAAAAATAAAATACTCAACCCGACCAATAATGGCGGTGAAAGGTTGTTCATTGGGTTTGGTTTTGTGGAGACATTTTTAGGTGTCTACCGGAGGAATGAACAAGAGAGAAGCAAAGAAAAAGAGTGAAACCAACAAAACCTCGGCTGGTGTTGGCGTCACATATGGTGATCAAGGTGAAATATATATATGCATTAGTGCCCCACACTATGCTCAAGACCAAAGACCTCTAATGCACGTGGCCCTCAACAACTCAAATTAGCATTAACAAGTTCCTTTGAGATATTGGAGTATTAATAATTAATTTGGGCTATTGTAGTGTGACTGTATGAACAATTACTTTCAGCTATTGAAGTATTAACATTTCAACCTTTCGGACAACATTTATCCATAAATATTTCAAAACCAATACCTTCATTCACATATCAGTAAAGAGAGTACTAAAAATTAAATTGTTCAGTTAACAATTTAAAATTAAATTGCTCACTTAACAATTTAAAAAGAAGTAATTCATCAATTAAGTAGTTTTCATATAAACAAATTAAATTCACCAAAATTTAATTAAAGAGGCCTTACATGACAATGGAAAACAAATCTCTCCTACTGAATTATATTCTCCCCTTAAGTCCAGCACATTGTATCTTCAATTAGTTAATTAAAAAGGGAAAACAAATCCCCTTAATCTTACCCAAAAATTGTAGATCTACAAAACTATCAAGCATGAACCATCAATTAAATCTACATGCTCCATTTGTAAATCTTTGGCCAGAAATTAGTGGCTACCGATCAATCTGACTAACAACATAAATGACGAAGATAAACATGAAATGAGCAGTAAAATAAAGAAATAAGAACAAAATTAAGATTTCAATTACTTGTATTTCGTATGGAAGATGGTGAAAGGATGAGAAGGAAACAAAAGGTAGTTGGGACTTTGGAGTCTTGAAGACAAAGAGATGAAAATGTAGTTACGGGTAATTAAGTTACGGAGTAATAAATACTACTTCCTCTATTCTTTTTTACTTAATCTGTTTCTTTTATCACAGTTGTCAATGCAAAATTTAACGATCAATAACTTAAATTCTCCGTAAGTAAAAATTATAAAAGTTATATACTCCCTCCGCTTCGAATTACTCGCAACACTTTCCTTAAATGGGTGCTTCACATTACTTGCAACAACTTCTTTTTTTTCCTTTTTTAGTAGGTTTTTTCATACAAATTGACATATTTACCCTTATTTTTTTTATAACTCCATCTTATTACTGTTAATCTAAATTTAGGAGAATTAACCTAACTTTAGTTTTCTTACCCATTCCCACCATATTTACCCAAATTTTTTTAAAATTACAATTTCCCAACTACCTTCATTCAATGAATCAGCATTTAATTGAAGATGAATGTGGTTGGATGAATTAAATTCTGGGTTTGAAACTTCCAAAACTCACACTCAACCCTAGTTCTTCATATACCCCCAATCTCTCTCTCTCTTTCTCTCTCCCAACGCGCGCTCTCTCTCTCTACTTCTACTGAGTTTTCTCCTTTCTCTCTCCTCATTTCTTCGTATTCTTCTCTCTCTGTATCAATCTTTCACTAAAAATGGCTTCCTCAGATGATGAAAACCCAGATCTGATGGGGTATGAGTCCCTTTATGCTGCTACAAAAAGGTCGAATCCTCGTCCTTCTTTTGCTACGACCTACATCCCCCGACGGGGTACTGGTGTGATGAAACCACTACGCCGCGCTTCCATAATTGCGCGTAGGAGGATCATAAGTGCTAAATTGGCTGAGTTTTCCAGCAACGAGGAGGAGAAACCAGTGGTTTCTTCTAGATCTAAAAGGCCTGCTCCACCTTCCGAGTTTAAGATCTGGACCCACAACCTATCGTCGTCGTTCATCCTATTGAAAAACCTGCCGAAGATGATGTTTCTGTTGTCGTTGTACCTGCTGCTGGGGTTCCAGACACCGAATCTGAGACTGGGGAGTCTGAACCCGTTGAATTAACTGCTGAGGAGGTTCTCCGGCCACCTGAGTCCTACCCCATGATGACTGTGATAGATGTTGGGCCTAGTTCTAGTGCAAAGCGCATAAGGTCTGGGCTCCCTGCTGGTTAGGAGCCGGACGACGTGTACATGACTTATCACTAGATCTACTATCCCCAGTACTCAAATCCCCATAACTAATTGGGAAGTGTAATCTCTTAAACCCTAAATTCAATTTATTTGCATATATTCATTTGTTTGAGTTTGATAAGTGGCTACATTGCTGGGTGATAATTGGCTATGTATGTTGTTTGAGTCCTTTTTTAGGATGTGATTAGATTTTGAAGTTCATTTGTTATAATCCTGTTTCATTTGATTAAGCTATTCACAGGACACTGCTCCTCTGTATGTTGTGTCTATTGTGTTGGTTTGGCGTATTACCCTCTGTTTGTTGGCTTGATGATGTGATGGTAATTCCTGTTGTTGTTGGCTGTTTTGATTCTCACCTTAGTTGGCTGTGTTGGCTTTGTTGGTTGATACTTTACTTGGATGTGTTGGCTATGTTGGTTCTTGCCTTTGTTGGTTGTGTTGGTTCTTACCTTAGTTGGCTGTGCTGGTTCTTACCTTAATTGGGTGGACTGATTTAGGGTGGATTGTTGTTTATATGGGCTACCTGTAGAATGTTGATTTGAGTGGGTGTTCTTGTTGTTGCCTGATATGTGTATGTATGTGTATTGGCAAATGAGTCCCCAAATAGGCCCCTTAGATGCATTGAGTCCCAAAACATGTAATGCATCACTGACACTTACCTCTAAATGATGAAGGGACTCAACTGATAGCTCATTGTTCAGTGTGAATGCTCTAGTGACTTCTTTTTGTAGTTGTTGTTGAGGTACCCACTGTCAAGATTGCTTTGAGTGACAAATAACCCTGTCTGATGGACTACTTTAATTTTTTCATTCGTTCAAAAAATTGTTTTACTTACAAAAGTTAGGACAATAGTCTTTTGAGCCTTAATACATGACTGCCTATAAATGAGGGCTAAGTATTTACCAAAATACACATAACCAACACTTAAACTAAAACAAAAAAAGAGTTTAGGGTACCATGGTTATGTGTGGCTGTCTGTGAGTCCCAAAAGCATCTTCATTGTTCCAAGTTTGCCTAGTCTGCATCCACCTCCATGTTGGCTTCTTCATGATGGTTGCTATTTGTTGTTGCCACTTCTATTGTGTCCAAATACTGTATCACTGTGTTCAAAAGCTCCTTGTCTACCTGTAGCAAGTCTGGAAGTAGGCCTAGCCTGTCCAAGTGTCTTTTTTCATGTGTGGGGGGGGGGAGAGAAGTTGTTGTTACCCTTCCTTGCTAGAATTTCAAGCATGACAGACTGTAGGGTAATCCATGTATACTTGTTCACTGTTAGATCAAATTCCTCCCATGCTTCTTTCACTTTTTGAAGTAATTCATCAATGTTTGTAGGGAATGATTGATATTGAATTGATTGTATCACCATAAACAAGCCTAAATCTAACACATTTAAGTCTGGACTTTGTGCTGGTTGATACACAAACTGGATATTGAACCCATATGCTTCACATGCTGCTTTAAATTCTGTATCTTTAGGTACTTGATGTGGCCTAGCATTGTCCCATTGGATGATGATATCCTTTGGTAATTGGGGGGCCATTTCTCATGTATAGTTGGAATAACATGATTGAGGAGCATGTCCCTTATAGCATCCTTGTTAACACACTGGACTGCCTTTGTGTTCTAGTGTTCCCTTATCTCTGTTCTTGCTTTTTTTCTTTGCTATTTCATACTTGACAAAAGGGAACAACCCATACTTCCCATCATGCAAAAGGTTCTTGTTGTTATCATACAGTGGTTTCCCTACCATACCCATGAACATAGCCTTAAGTTTAAATCTCTTAGATTGTTGTGCTCTATATGGATCTTGTTCATTTGGTAGCGGATAAAAGGTTCTGGTTTCTGGGTTCAAGTAGAACCATTTCTCATCTATGTGGATTGTGTACTGCATGTCTCTAAATGTAGGGTCCCCTACAGCTGGAATAGGGTTCATAAAGCTTAGAACCCACTTCAATCTAGCAATTTTGTGATTGTCTGTCAGGGCAGGGTGATTGGTTGAAGTGTGTGTTCTAAGCCTACCTTTTTTTAACCTATGAATAACTGAGGAAGACACATGAAGGGCAGCAGCATAGCTCCTTTCAGTTGTCCTCTTATACAATGGGACAGAGACCAACCACTCATCTAAATAGACTTTGAGTTTGGGGCCTGTTTTGCCAAGTTTTTTGGTCCTAGCATCAATAACAATCCCCTCCCCTAAGTGTTTCTTAATTACCTGGAACCATCTTGTTGTTGTGGATATGTGAACTTTGTGTTTCTTGGCCAACTTGGATAAAAATCCAAAAGGCAATGAGTCCCCCTCCATGTTCACCAAGATTTCATCAAGTTGCCTTTTTTCATCTAGTGACATTTCTCTGTTGGCCCTTCTATGACCTTGTTGTTCTTGTGGAGTCCCATCCTCTTGTTCTTCCCCTGTTTGTGCATCATCATCATCTGCATCATAACCAATATCTGAATTTTCATTTTGTACTTCCTGGTTTGTTATGTCTGATTCATCATGGTATGTTTCATCATGAAGTCCCATGTTGTAATAATCCCAATGTTGTTGTTCCTCTTCATACAGTCGATGCATTCCAAAACAATCAGATTCAAAGAATTCCATGAGACCCTTTTTTTTTTTTTTCTTTTTTTTGCAGAGCAGGTGAAGGTGATGAAAGGGTGGCTGTAGTTTTTTTTTTTTTTTTTTTTTTTTTTTTTTTTTTTTTTTTTGCGGTCTTCAATGGAGCCTAATTTCAATACATATGGTTGTTGTTGGTTCTAACAGAGCATTTAGAAATTAGGATTATTAACAACTAATTGCAGGGAAAAGTAATTTACTAGGGCTACTTGTATCTTTTGAAGAAATAATGTGTTGGTTTTTTTTTTTGTTACTCTTTGAATTCCCCGCCCCCCAACCCAGGTATTGAGTTTGAAAATTAACAAAAAAAAGGGTTCATTTCAAGGGGAGGCCACCTTATAAAGGGGTCATTTTGGCTGAAAATTATGAAAACTTTTGAATTTGGGTGAATTTGGCAAAAAAATTGAAATTTCATATAAAAATAAGGGAGGGAAAAATTTACTCTCCAAAAACTCACATTCCCTTTCATGTGATGCAGAGTTAGGGTGGGATATTTCCCACTAAAAAAGATCCCCCCCACCCACATGGGTGGTAAAGCTAAATATGAGACCACTACTTTTCCCACCAATTTATCTCTCCTAATACTATACCCCTCACCTTAATTTATCTACTTTCAATCTTTTGCCTCGGCCTCCGCAAACATGTCCTTTGTTGCGAGTAACATGAAGTGGAGGGAGTATTATGATAGTACTTATTGAGACGAATACAAAAAGATCATACATGAATATATTTTTCCTTACATATTATTCACAAAAGACGGTCAAAGGAGGGATGGTGAATAGTGTAAAAGTCAAAACAGGTCAAGTAATAAAGAACGGAGGAAGTATATCTCAAACGCATATGATTAAATGAACTCACGCACTGCATATAATGTAACCCAACTACAAAAATAGGCTCAATTGGCAAAGTTTTCTTTTTTAAATACCTTAAATTGGTTAAAACTTTTTAATATACCAATGTGGTAAATACTACTCCCTCCGTCCCTAAATTACATTCATGTTTGTAAAATTACACGAGAATTAAGGAGGAAAAAAATAATACAAATAGCAATAATGAAATATTTCAATGGGAAATACAAAACATTAAATAATGTCTTTGAGTAAAACAAAGATAGATTAATGATGTATGATGTCATGTCATCAATCCTTTGCAAAAAAAAAGGACCAATAACATGCTTCTAATTGAAAATTAAGAACCAATCATATTCATTAGGTTAGTTATAAAAAGTATAAACTTGAGAAAAACGATGGAGACAGAAAATATGAGTGAGATTAGGATAGTAAGAGTGAGAAATCATTAAATATACAACAGAAAGAGAGAGTTGATTTGGAATATTTAGAAAAAAAAAATACTAAAAATGAAAAGGAGAAATGTAATTTTGGAATACCCAAAATAGAAACTAGGATGTAATTTAGGGACAGAGGGAGTATATATTTTTTTATACCAATTTGGTAATTTGGCCTTAATCTTTTTTTTTAAAAAAAATAGAACGATTTCCATAAAAATTGTTGAATTGTAAATTAATCCCCTATTTGCGTCGGTTTAAAAACTTATTCCCACAACATTGTCCACGTAGGATTGGAAGAAGTTTTTTTTTAAACAAAGAACCGCTAACGGTGATAGCGGTTCTATACTTGTTATAAAACCGCTAACGTCGTTAGCGGTTCTTATATTAAGTTTTAACTCGTGATGTTTTTTCATACAAGAACCTAATACAGGAACCGCTAACGACATTAGCGATTTTATAATTATAGAACCGCTATCACCGTTAGCGAAAATTGATTTTGGCACACCCTTTATTGATTTTGGCACACCCCTATGTGAGAAGAGCATAGAAAACTGTGCTCTCACATAGGGGTGTGCCAAAATCATTTCCCCCGTTAGCGGTTCTTTGCAATATATATATATATATATATATATATATATATATATATATATATATATATATATATATATATATATATATATATATATATATATATATATATATATATATATACGGGGAGGTTCCGCTAAAAACAGAGCTTATGGTGAAAACTAAAACTAAAAACAAGCAATCTTAGCCATTGGATGTTCACTAGATAATCTGATGGTGTAAAACAACCCAGGGGTCACTATATACAAAAATAAGGTAATTATATCAAATTATACTAATTTTGATGACATTTGCACCGAGGTCACTATATATAGAAATATGGTAACTATATCAATTTTTACAATATTTACTTAGAGGTCACTATATACAAAAATAGGGTAATTATATCAATTTTGACCACATTTACATAAAGGTCACTATATACAAAAATAAGGTAACTATATCAATTTTGACCACATTTATATAGAGGCCATTATATATTAAAATGACGAAGGTCACTATATATAAAAATAAGGTAATTATATCAATTTTGACAACATTGACCACATTTATAAAGAAGTCACTATTTACAAAAATAAGATAACTATCTATTTTGACCACATTTACACAAAGGTCACTCCCCAATCTCCTACACTTCGCTTCCATATACCGACTCTTTATCTCCAAATCCTTGACATACATCTTCTTCCTTTCCCTTGATCTCATCGCGACATCTCTATTTCTCAATTGTCTGAAACAACAACCATCTCACATTGTTACACAATCTTCGCAATAGAGACAATTCAATAATAAATGCTCAATTCCAATAGCAAACAAATTATCCCAGTCAATATGGATGAAGGATCTGCCATAAAACTCTCTCAGAAATGTGTTTTCAAAGTTGTTAGATATTAGTCGCGCAAGAAAAAAAATACCCCAACTCTATCTCCAAAAGTTAGTATGCAACTGCAGCATATTGACACTATAGATAAAAGAACACCAAGTATAATATACAATCAGTAACGAAATTCATTTTGTTTTATATAACCTCAACACCTGATAAATGATGACAGATTGACAAACGATAAAAGGTGGACAAACACAAGGTACAGAAAAATATAAATCGCTATAACACGGCGCCAAACACAAGGTACAGAAAAATATAAATCGCTTCCCATCTTCTCTAAGATCAATAATGTATGCCTCTGCAATCTAACATTCTTTAAGGGTTTCCTAGCAAGTTGTTCCTTTAAGTTTGGTGCACTCGGCTTTACAAACCCTAATTCCTTATCCGCCATCACCAATAACTCAAAACAGAAATTGAAACTTCTACCAAATTTCCACAGCACAAACCCTAGAATCTACAGAAAAACTATAACGTAATCATATCAACCGAAATCCCCAATTAACAGTATAATTAACACTTAGATGTTCATAATTGCAGAAAAATTCAACGAAATCCAGTTTTTCTTGAACTAAAATCGCAAGAAATTCTCATTGACATTTTAACAAACACTTAGCAGGCAATTGATAGACTGACCTCGAACAAAGGCTTTAGCAGCATTTTCTCTCATCAAGGATCGTTTCGAGAACGAGTGCGAGAGAAATATGTGAGAATTATTGCTCAGTAAGCCTCGATAAACATTCGCATTTTTCGAATTTCGACTCGTCTGCTCACTCGATCAAGAATTTCCAAATTTATATTCTAATCAATATTAGAATTGAAACAACAAAATTTTGATTTTAAAATTGATAGAGTAAGAAGATGAAGATGACATCAAACCAGAGGAAGATCGAAGATCGGAGCTCGAACCTATTGGAAATCAGCCAGAAATTGTGAATTTTTTAGAAAGAGAATGAGAAGAACTTAAAGAGAAGAGAGAGAAAAAGGACCTAAGAAGGAGATAGAATGTCAGCATAACTTTTTTTCCTCTAATCTCAGCCGTTGATTTTTATGGACGATGGAGATTGTCCGTTTTCAGTTTTTAGATTTAATCTTGTTTTTACATGATCCTCTTCCTATATATATATATATATATATGGAAAAAAGCCACATAGGATTCCATTACCCGATTGAGTCGGCAAAAAAAGTCCCCTTTACCCACATTTCCCCATCACAACATAACGGCTCTTTTTTCTAAGATCACACTCTCAACGCCTCTTCCCATTGCACTCCAGCTTTAAGGTAATTCATTTCCATTTCCATTTAGAGACAACACACCCCAACAAAACTAACCGTTAAATAACTTAATCAATTGACTGAACCTCTTCAGCTTCTCCCATTTTTGTCTCTCTTCTTATTCTCTACTCATCTTCTCTCCGTTCACTGCGAAACCGAGTCAGTGACTCAGTGAGTGAGTACGAGTAGGAGAGAGAAAATAATGTCTGTTGCTTATGCAGTGAGAACCCATTGCAAGAAACTCGCAAAATTGGGGGCTTATTTTCGACGAGACTTCAATTCTTCCAAATGGTATTTACCCCTTTTATTTTGTTTTTCTCTGTTTTATTCTGATTTGATTGAATTGAATTTGGTTTCTGAATTGTTGGGTTATTATAGTAAGACATGGGCTCGGATGACGACGGCTCGAATTAAGCTGTTGCGGAATAAGAGAGAGACGGTGGTTCGCCAAATGAGACGGGATGTTGCGTTGCTTCTTCAATCGGGTCAGGATGCTACTGCTCGAATTCGGGTAATTTTTCACCATTTTTGAATTTCTATTTTTAAGGGTTTTGGTGGGTTTATTTTGGGGTTACGAATTTGATGAGTTTTGTTCTTGATTAGTGTTAATTAGAAATTTTCTATATATGGAATTGGTTTGTTTGAAATTAGAGCATTGAGCCTTGATTAGCTTTGTACTTCCCCTGTTGCTTGTTGTTGGACACATTTTGACCTTAACACTATTTTCATGATTTACTCCGACTTTGTTCCGTGATTTATAAATATATACTAGTATTTATACATCAAGGGTATGTTTGATTCGTCTCAATGTATATTTTCCTTATATTAACTCGTTAAGTTATTGTAATTTTTTTCAATTAATAACTTTAGACATTGATAATATGGCTTTACTTTCATCATTTTGTATTTTTCTCTCTTTCCTAGCTCATTTCATCCTTACATTTTCTCATT